GTACAACATTGTTTTCTTGGCGTTCATTGTGGCATACCTTTTGCGTCTGGCGCTTTGCTGGCAAAGTTATAAATGTCACGCAAAGCTACAAAGTTTTATCTGGCATCAGCTTAAGATTTAGATAGAGGTGAAAAAACGGAAAAAAAGGAAATACAACTGAAGAGTGTGCGATGTTATATTGTGGTGTGTTATGCTTCATATGTTATGTTATTTATTCTTATGTTATGGTTATGTTATGCTATAGCATTGGTATTGGTGTGACTTTTGAATTGATTTTTTCGCTCTATTTTAAACTGATTTGAAATTTTAAAAATTGCCTGCACATCAGCATCAAAATACCTTTCTAATGATATATAACTGTTTATACCTTAGAAGTATAGTTTAGCCGTAAAAGGGGTGTAAAGGAAACATGATTGCCTATTTATATAATGATAAGATAAATCGACCTTCGAAGGAAGGGAAACACTCTCATTTCGGACTCTTAAATGAGCTAATTATGAGTGTCAAGGCCCCGAAATAGGACTCCTTGAAGGGCCGTTTACATAAGACTTTCCTCGCTTTGCTTGACAGCTCGAACTTTGACAAGAAAATGCAAATGCAAGCGCACGAGAAAAGATACATGTAGACAGCTGAGTGCCAAAGCGCGCAAAAGTTGAGAGTTGCCGATGATTTTGCTTGCAGATGGCCAAGCAAAAATTAAAAAAAAATATATATACATATAAAAATACCATTGAAATTATTCATTCACTCAATTTAACACATAATTTAACTAGCCATATTTATTTTCCATTATCCTACTTATTGTCAAACCGAAAATACATCCGCAATATAACGGAAATCATAAGTATTATAAGCGACCAACTGTAGTCCAATATATCCGTAACCCACACCACCTTCAGTTACACGACAATCCAAATCTTTCGAGGTCATCCAGACATCCACTTGCGCGAAAGCAACCTCATAGCCGGTACCCGATTTGGGGCAACGCAGCTTTAAGTTCACATCGTGTGGCGTCTCCCAGAGTGTATTGTCCTCAGCGAAGCACATCACATTTTCTAAAAGTAAACCAAAATAAAAAAAAAAAGTTAATAGTTGCACTTCTAAGTTAAATCCTTTATCCGCATTTCACTTACGTGTACGCTTTTTGCCCACCGTGCACAAGTAGTGGTACTCATTGTTATCGCCTTCGGTGCTGCTGATATCCATGCGTTGTGTCATCATTTCGAATTGTACATTCGCTCGATCAGTAGTAGAATCATCTGTGCTTGTAGGTCCTGTCGCTGTATTTGCTTGCGGATCCTTCGATGATTCTGTAATTTCTGTGGTAACCGAAATCGGTTTGGTAGTAGTAGGTTTTGTTGTGTCCGTAGCTGTGGCCACTGTGGCCAGCAAGGCAAGTAGTAGCAGTTTTGTGTGGGCAAACATTGCAATTATTTATGCTAAGTGTAATGCGTAGAATATTCGTTTGTTCTTGTCAAGGTAGCGTCCAATGCCAACTGTTGACTTTGCTAGTTGCCTCTTTTACTTTTATAGCGTATGTAGTTCCCTGATTACTAAGTGGTACAACGCACAGTGGGTGCAATAAAAGTGTGCCAACGCTTCTACTTAGTGAAAAAAGTACTATTCCTAAATGTGGCAATATGCTTACGAATTTTATTGGCACTTGCATTCGCTACCTATTTAATTATGCAACAACACGATTACGCTGCCGCAGGTAATGCCAATTACATACTTTGTTTATCATCGACAAAGCGCCGTTTTATTTTGATATTTGTTTAAATAAATATATGTATGTATGCTGAGAATGGCAGAGTCGGGCCTAGATCACGCAGCGTAAATGTCATTGCACCGGTACATGTAATATATGTACATTAGGGTGGTCCTTAAATGTAGGAAGCAAATTTTTACGTCAGATTTCTTAAGTCTCAACTCCCACGTCGATGCTACTACAGTCGATGATTGGAGTTGGTTAAAGTGTGTCGCACCGGGGCCACGGACCGAATTTTATATGTGATATCTTCGACTATAGTAACATCGACGTAGGGGTTGAGGCTTAGGAAATCTGATGTAAAAATTTGTTTCCTACACTTACGGGCCACCCTAATGCGTAATCTAGGCCCAACTCTGGTATTACCGATTGGAGGGGGNGACTGAAAAAAATTATTCATTTGGTTTTTAACGACCAACCTAATGTACATACGTACATATGTATATGCTCAGTGGGTGAATTGGAAATTTATTTTCAAGTTTATATATAAACATTCTATTTAAAGCACATAGACGATTACTCACATTAAGGAAAGGCACTTGTTGAATGCCTTAACTTTTTTATTATGGAGTTACATTTGCACCTTGACATATATAATTACTATTATAGTATTACATATTTATTTTTTCACTCACTGAATTCATGGGAAAGTGCTTTAAACATATTATTCTTTATTTAAATAATATTTTGTTTTCATAATTTCTTTTTTACAGACAACTTTTAGTTGAAAGCAACAATTGCCTGCTGTGCAAGACCTTTCAACTAATCGCTTCCAAAGAAGTTGGGGTAAAATCGCCTCATGCGAACACCGTATAAGCACAACGCATTGAGTTCAGGTAGCGAAAGAAAGTATTGGATTCACATTTATCAATTTATATACGCCTGTTCTATATAATTTGTAGTAAGAACACAGTAGTCATATTTCCTGTTAATATTCTTTTATTTGAATGAAAACAAGTGAATAAAATGTAAGTTTAGTACTCCACTCTACACTCTAAAAAAATGGTGTAAATTTCCTAGCTAAAAGGTAGGTTGCTGATTTCCTACCTTACTATTCCCGAAATTACATTCTCGATTATTCAACGAATAGTTTGTTTAAATTTCGGACTTTTTAGAGTGTATTATAGCTGCCGTGGTGTGCGTAAATTTACTACGAAAGTGTGTACAAACTACAAAATACACATCTGCTGTTTGATTTCACCCGTAGAATTGTGTAAAGCCGCTAACAAAAAGGAGTTTTTCATCGTGTAAATTTACCAAAAAAATTTAAAAATAAACAAAAATATATTCGATTTATAGTCGCATTTTAAACAAATTTTTTAGAGCGTAGTGACTAAACTAAATTTATATTTGGCTATTAGTTAAGATTGTATTTTCAAAAGGAACCATTTAGTTTACACATACATTGACTCACACAAATGACCACGTGTTGATTTTTTTTTTAAATATTCGATATGTTTTTCGAACCATTATAGGCCATACAATTTTTGGTCAAATGAAGTGCGAATTTCAAACGGCTAAAAAATCGCGTTGAATTTTGAGATTTTTTTTTGTGACGGATTTTTGCACTTTATCCCATATAAGCATGAATTTCTTATGAAAACGCAGCAGACCGTTCTAAATATTCAGATAAAAAAGTTGAAAGTTTGATGAAAATTTGATGAATTTCCGGAAATTTTGTATAAAATTGGAAACTGTGATTTATATATTTTTGGATAAAGCTTGGACGGAAATACTATAGAAAAATAACAAAAAATTTAGCTCGAAAAACGTTACGAATATAAAGAAAAAAAAACACGTCGTCATTTGTTAGAGTCACTGTATGTATTAATAAGGATTCATCCATGATAAAAACATAACAAGGTATAACGATTGAGAAGCAGTCTGACGATTGCCGGCAATATAATTTAAAAACTCAAAACTCAAACTCACACACACATTCCCATTTTCAATGTCAAAAAACAAAAATTGTGAAAATATTTTTTTTTTCCATTTAATTTTTTTTAAAATGCTTGCAAACGTCAGAAAAAAATCACGGCCGACGAATTGAGAGAATGAATTTACTTTGTAATGTTTTTATCATGGATTCATCAATCAAAAACAAACAAATTTTGAAATCAAATTTTCTACGGATTTTTTTCTATGTCGGCCCCCCCAATTGCTATCCTGGCGACGCCCATGTGTGCGTCTGTCCGTGCAAGGATTAGGTGTAACGCTTTTGTCAGCAATGTGTTGAGAGACGAATATCTGAACTCTTTAACACCCACTTCTTCAAATGGATTAAAAGGGAACACTACAACGGCATGAAGTTTTTTTGAACTCATTGTTTTGTGTTATTTACAGCAAATACATATCTTCAAAGCTTTTTTAGATTTTTACAGTGGGTTGAAAGACTTTTGTATACTTTGGAAGCTAGGGCTTTTCGCTAGCGCGACATTTTTGGTTACAGTACTTCGTGCTGTTAAATTATTACAGTTTGAAGGCAACTGTATACAAGTTTTTAAGCGCGTTGTTATTTACAGATATAAGTACATATGTATGTTTGAACATAAATATGAATATTAGGTTTCTACATACATTGCACTACATATTTCTATAATGCAGATAATTGTACATATTGCATTTCCATGCTAAAGCCTAGTTCAAAATTTTCTTGGGCGGAAGAAATGGACTAGACATTTCTTTTTGTTGCTACAGAGGTACATACATACATACGTAGGTATATTCATAGTTAGAGCGACATACAAATTACTTTAAGAGTAGGGCGATTAAAAGTGGCAGGCGTAAAAAGGTCAACACTTTAAATTTGGATTAAACGAGAATATTATTAACTTCAATATAAGTATGTATGCTTTTGTGTACAACACCTTCAACAAAAAAAAAAAAATTCCCAAAAATCAACGGTAAGTCGGAGCTACTTTAAACTTGCACTTAATTGCGTATAAAAATTTTTTTCCAAAGTTTGTTGATATTTTTTAAACCTTTAACAAGATGAAACTTGGATTTATATGGTTTTTGTTAAATGATATATTATATTTTTATAAACAAATAATCAAAATTAAACAAATACTAAGATAAGTGGTCAATCACTTCAATATGGGATGGCTTTGATGATAACTTTGGCATCTGAATTAATTTTTGCAATAGAATTATTAAATTGTTTTAGTTATTGTTATTCTTTTTGAAATAGAAACATTACTAAAAATCTTAGAATGGTTTTTCCGGAATGGTTTTTTTTTGAGTCGTGAAATGTCGGTATTTATGTATAAAAAGCTCATTTGTATTAGAACTTCAACTAAGTGTCATTCAAGTCTAATTTTTTTATCTTCTGTCAATTTCCATATAGAATTCAAAAAATTAAAATCCTTCTTTACTTAAATTGCTTTCGTGAAATTGGTTGTTTGAGTTGCTTTCTTTTGTAAATTTCTAAACTTGTTACTGCTTTGGAGATCACGTGTGTACTCTTAGAGAATTCTTCACTCTTTGTACCCAATTCGCTATGAGTTCACGATTAACTTACTAAGAGAACGATAGTGCGCTCACCAGGGTTGCCACTGACGAAAAAAATACTTACCATAAACTTGAATAAAAAAATCTACCAAATCTCGAACTTTTTACTCTGAATTTTTAGAAAAATTTTGGGTACGCAGTTTTCCATTAAAAATATTTAGGCTAGTGGTCGGCAGGCCAGGGCTCACTGAGCGCTCTCTGAGCACATGTGTGTTTCAGTCTCACTCATTGAATTGTTTGAATGGGTTAGTATGTCGACCACTGATTTAGGCAATTAAAAGCTTCTCAGCATTACAGCAAAATGAGTATTTATGTATGTATGTATATAAAAAATGTGCATTAAAGCATTGGAAAATTAATGCAATAAAGTAGACTAAACTTGTGCAAAGAAATTTATAATATACACATAACTATGAAGAACAAAGCAGGAACTAAAACTTTTTATGTTTTGTTTTTTCAAACAAAATACTTTAACAAAAATTTACCAATTTTGATAATAATTTACCAAAGTGGCAACACTGGCGCTCACGCTCAACAAATAAAATAGCCGGCAAAGTGATCTAGCAATTTAGTTGCCGGCAAACTGTTGTACGGCTCATAGCAAACGATTCGATGAAAGTGATAAGCTACTAAACATAAGCGACATAAAGTTGAAAGAAAGTTCAAGTGCACGCAATAATACAAAACAAAAAAAAAATAAAATAAAATTAAACAACAAAAAAGTTCACTAGTGCAAACATATTTAGTACCTACTTGCGTTAATTTACACACATACTCATACATACATACATAAATAGAAGATGTGCATGCATATTTGATGAGTATTAAACAAATTTCAATTGCAAAATGCGAGCTATGAAGCTGAAAATTGCAGCAAACATTCGCATTGGCGTGCTTGTTGTATTCTTCGCCGGTTGGCTGTGCAATTTGTGTGGCAGTGCTGAAGCGGAGTCGGTTTATGTGCAGGACTTGAAGGGTCTATCGTGGACGCTTACAAATGGCAGTTATAGTGAGTGTTTATATATACATACATACATACATATAAGTACTATTCATTAAATATTTAGCTTCATACCTTTATGAACTCTGGCGATGACTAGAAAGAAAAGAGCTCAATAAAAAATTGTTTAATATTTTAAAAATAGTTGATTAAAAAAAATGGTTAAATAAACAATTGCGTATTATTACTACCAGTCTCCTAAAGAGGAACAAAGTTTTCAAATCGAAAAATATAGACTTTCAAGAAATCCCATATAAAATACGTGTAAAACTTTTAGCGACCTCTAAATAAAAAACACATATATATTTTCATTATCTATTGGTGAGAGCATAAAAACTCCGACTGTATTTTTTTGGTACCACCCTATTGGACATACCGATTCAAAGTGGCCATTGCCATAGGCCAAAAATAAGTGAGCCAATTTGCAAATGCATTAGTTAAATGTGATGGCGCGGACTTTTATATGGCAAGGCTAGTTAACTATAAATTGGTTTTGTTAAAATTTTAAATAAATTACTTGTACTTACATTGCTTTTGGAAATAAAATGCCAATAAGAAAAACAATATTTTTTTTTTTAACTTTTTTACATTTTTATTTACATACTTTATTTATTAATTTACATATTTTTTACATATTCTGCTGTAGGTGGTCCCATATTCGAACTCCGTCAGACATAACTTCAAAATGATAATCAGCCATGAGTTTCATGAGTTTCATTTTCCCCGAACGGGTTCACCTTTCACTTTTGGTTTCAATGTATTTACTATGGGCGGATAAGGCAGAATATAAAATTTCGATCTTCCTTTTATTTGACCTCAATTCGAAAAAGTATTTGTGAAGTGCAGAATGAAAGTGTATTCAAAGTAAAATTTGTATGAGGATGTGTAAATAGAAACTTGTTTATAGAAAACAATCTCCCCATTACGTCTGCTTTACTCCTGCATTACTTGTAAACTAGTTTCAAGTTATCTTCTTGTAGCTAACTGCAAGTTATATATTTTATAGAAATCCCGCAAACAATCTAACTACAGGTGGGTTATTTTTTATCAATTGATAGTTTTTTTCTACAGCGCAGTTTATTAGGAATAAGTTTTAATTTTTACCGTTGCCACATGCATATGCATCACCATTCGAAATGTGGACTGTGTGTAGGAAAATGTTTACTCAGCAATGAGCTTTTCAATTTGAATGTATTTTATAGTGATGTGCTGAGTCAATACTTTTAATTATTGATCGATATTCGGTACCAATTTGAAAAGTATCCAATACTCTCGATACTCGGTACCGAAGCATTTAGGTTTCGAATAAAAGCGCACATAGGCCAAAAATATGAAAAAAGACGGTTCAGGGGAGACTCGCCTATCAAAACCCGAATGTAGGAGCCAATACACGATGTAGGGAGACAGAGGTGGCGCAATCAGCAGTACCGCTACTTTGTTCTTGGCGAATTTGACAGAATCAGTTGTTCGTGTGACGTCATTTTAGCAAACTGTTTGTATGTATGCAGAGATGTTTATATGCATGTAAATATGGCGACCTCCATGGTTTGACGGTTAACGCTCTTTCTCTCCTCCATCTCCAATTACTCTTTCCTATTCGTTGCTATCTTGACGTCATCACCCGCAGGAATGCGCAATCTTGTCTTTTATCATTCTTGGAGCCAATAGAGCTTTTAATACTGATTCAAATGAAAGATGTATATACAGAATCTCTCCCTCCCTCTCTTGAACCTTGGATCGACTAAGGTTAAAACTGGTAAAATAATATTTCTCTGTTGCGATAAGTTCAAATGTTTTAGACGATATCATATAAATTAGTAAAGAAGGTTTTTTCTAAACTTGAAATGCATATAATGGCGAAGGTTTAATGTCAAGAATCGATATCAGGTACGGAAAAGCAAGTATTGGGTACCGAGTATTGGGTACCGACAATTCAGTACATCACTAGTATTTTATGACAAACGTAGCTACACAAATACATACATATGCATATGAAAATTTGTGCATCAACGCATATAAAAATATGAATGAGAATTTTTTATTGCAAATTTTCCTCTTTCAAGTTCAGCAAGTTTTTCACTATAACACAATTCGACTGTTAATTGTGAAAGCATAGGAACCAGTGATTATGACAATCAGGCATGCTTGCCTAATTTAATATTCACTCTCACCTATTTTAGTAAAAAAAAACTTCGTTGACTCAACTGAAACAAGTTGATAAAAAATGGATCGGATGATGGCTATTAGATTCATGGTAATATCTAGCAATTACAGTAATAAATAAACTAAAAAAATACAAAATGACTCGCTCTTTAGAAACGTACAAATTGGGTTTGAATTAATTTTGATTGAAATTATCAGAATATGATAAATTTTCTAAGCACTTCTATTTTAATTTTACTGTAAAATAACGTAACTGGGCTACTTATAAAAAGCTCTTATCAAACGCTGCAGTTCTTCATTTGCGAAATATGTTATTTTAATATAGTAACAAGTTTAATGATGTAGTGATTATTTTAAAATTCAATTAGGTGTTTGCCCGCGTACTCTATTGTCGTTTATACAAAGTTAAATTTAAACAAGTAAAAATGTCTAAGCTCGGGCGAAGCCGAATATTAAATACCCGGCGCACGTATTAAATATAGTCCTTTCACCTTTCTGAAAACTACCGTTACATAGTAAGCTGGGGTTATTTGATTAATTACAAACTTGGTAATCACCATTGTTTTATAATCGGATGTTGGAAAATACTTGAAAATCGTATTTGCGTTACATAGTAAAGTATTATTTATATAAAAAATCACGAATCAAATTGATTCGCTCAAATCAAATAAAATCACAAATAAATTGTATTCTTTATTTGGTCGACAGATCAAATTCCAAATAAATCTTATTACTTATCTGACGAATTAAACAACAAAAATATATATATTTCTTAATTAAAGCAGATTTTAAATAGAAAACCTTGGTCCTCAGGTACCTTATACCTCATATTAAGAAAAAATCACAAACAATTTGTGAACTATTTGAAGGAAACTAACTATAAATCCATTTTATTTGACGTGGGCCTCGACTACTTTGCGTTACTTTTAACTGACTACTTATATATAGTGATGTCGCAAAAACGCCAGTTTGTTTTCAGCTAACTACAAACTGGTTATTTATAAGCTGACTTGTAGACTGATAATTAAAAGAAGGCTTTTGGTACTGTCGGTGTTTATGCGTTATATTTTGAATCGAGTACTTGAATCCCAGTATCGTATCGAAATTTTGGGGGAAAAATACTTTCTTTTCTTTTTGATTTGCTTAGACAATGCGTATGTAAATATGTATGAATATCGGATACCTAACCGCCAAAAAGATGTAAGCGAAATTTCTTTTCAAACTTTAGTTTTGATGCATGAATGCATCGAGATGCTCTGGGAATATTTCTGCATCAAAAAGTAAATTTTGAAAAAAAATATGTGTACGTGAAAACTGGAATCTCGAAACTTATGACAAAAAATCCAAAAATCGATTCGAAAAAGGGGAAAAAGTGGATGAAATTCGGATTTTTGTCCGTTTAACGTATCCATTTTCGGATACTTTGACGATCCGTTTTCTTATAGAAAAGAACCGAAAATAATTGCCAAACCAATGTGTTTTTGGCTGTTTTTCTGATTGAATTTTTCTAAATATTTGATTTCAAAATAAAAATAGGGGTATATTTTTTGGTATAGAACAATCCTAGGGGTGAGAGAGTTAAAATAACGACTTTACTTTGTTGGACCACCCAAATGTACATATCTATTTGCAAAACTTACTTTTAATCAAAAATATATATATTTTTTTTCAACTTATTCTTCTTATTTTCAGCCAACACCAGAGTGAAAATACCTTCCGGTGTCTATAGCGCTATAGCTGGTGAAGATGTACTCAAATACAAAAATGATGTCGACCTGCGTTATATTTCATACGATAACTGGACCTACTCCCTCGAGTTTGCTGGTGCGTATGAGCAACTAATATACTTAATCCAAAGTTGTGCATTAAAAATTCACTAAGTAAATATTATTTCGTATGTTTAGGAGAAATTAAAGACTCACGTCTGGTCAACCTAACATTCCATGGCATTGACACGATTTCGGAAATTTATCTCAACGGCCACTTGCTTGGCCACACCGACAATATGTTTGTGCGCTACACCTACGAAGTGGGTCACATTTTGGAGGATGTGAATAGATTGGTGGTGCGTCTGACTTCGCCAGTGCATGCCGCACGTGCCAGGGCTGATGAGTTGACGGCGCGCAATATATCTGTGCCGCCCGCTTGTCCACCCGTTAGCTATCGCGGCGAATGCCATATGAATATGCTGCGCAAAATGCAGGCCAGCTTCTCGTGGGACTGGGGGCTGGCGGCGCCATCAATGGGCATCTGGTAAGTAATGGCAATTGTAAGTGATTGCGATCGACACAGTCGGATGCATAGGGTTTCTCTTATTGCTTACTAATTGCTCTACATTTGTGATTTCAAAGGAAAACCGTGACGTTGGAGTTCTACCAGGTGGCTTTGATACGTGATGTGGATGTTGCAATTAGTCGCAATGAGACGCATTGGAATATGCATATACGCGTTTTCATCGATTCCGGCGGCAAGCAGGATTTCTATGCTGAACTTAAATTTTATGCAATGTATGGTTGGAGGTTTTATTTAATTTAAATTATTTTTTTCTTAAGCAGAGTAATTAGGGTGCTAATTATTACAGAGAGCTAATGGAAGAGCCAGTTGTGATAAATACATACTCGAAGAAGACGCTTTCGTGGCAGAATCCAGTACTCATATTTGATCAAGCAATACCAATTGTAAGTAGGAATTAGTTTAGTTGATATATCGGACTATACTCCATCTCAGAGAACCCGAAGCCATATTCAATTCGACGTACCAGGTACCCATGAATTTTGTAGTTTAAAAATGACTTTCTCATAACCAATTCGGAAGTATTTCAGGTCTGCTTCAGGATCATTACGTGACTAATTTCGAACTACCCTGATAATCTCAAAATTGTCCTGAAGTAGTCCGCAAGTTATTTTGAAAAAGTCATGAACTTGTCCCGAAACGATCTCGAACAAATCTTGAAATGGTCCCGAAACGGTCTCTTACTAGTCCCCAAATGCTCTTGCACTAGTCTCAACATAAACCAGAGCTCGATCCGAAGTGATACTGAACCAGTCTCGAAATGGTACTTAATCAGTCTCGAAATGATCCGGAAAAATAGTTCCGAAACAGCCGTGAACTAGTTTCTTAATGGTCTCAACCTAATTATTTCCAGGAATCTAGCGCCAACTCTAGGCAGGAAGCTGTAGTGAAACGCCATGATCAAAATCTACAGTTTTTTTTTTGTCAGACGGGTTACAAAGTAGTGCCCAATGTCAAAAGTGACACTTAATTCTCTTTTGGATTTGCTACTCTTTGAGTTAGAGATCCAACCGAAAACGAAGTTTGGCACAGCTTATGGAAGAAATAGTTCTTTAAAAGGTTGTCCAAAATAAGTTATTTGTTCTTGTACACCGCGGGCAAAGTGACTGCTAGAACCTCTCTTGCAGATAGAGTTCTTGCTATTGCAGATAAAGTTCTTGCTAGATTTCCTACTAGAAAAAAAGGAAGAATTGCGGCTACTCTCTTGAGAAACTCGGTAAAAACTTTCTGTACCAAATATTTAGAGACGCAAGGTATTAAATATAAGACTCTTTGCGGGACACAATCCATGGGGAAATCGATAACTCACTGTGTACACCTTGCTTAGAAGCTGTTGGTTGGTAGCTATCTTCATATGCGCTGAGTATGGGCAAGTTACATGCTGCTTGCCTCAACAAAGTATATATATTCATCGAAGAGTCTGAAGAGTTTGCCTGGGAGTAATAACTTATCACGTGCACCGGTATTTCTTAGCCAATTTACTCCTTTAAAGGCTTTAATTACAATATTTATTGTAAAAGAACTCAAATTCGTCGGTCTCACTTGCCCAATCAAACTCTTGGCCTCGATAGCATAGTGCGCCAAGGCCTGTAAAGGTATAAAAGGCTTGTAGTATGTACCTCTCACTAATTTTTCACTCTGCTACGTCAATTTAAACAGAGCCAGCATCCTCTACCGAAATTGGCTTATATTCAAGCCCTCTTAGCAAGAAACTAATCGTGGTTGGCGCCCTCTTGCGAGTTCTGTTAACTAGCATAAAATCAACAGTCTACCAGAAGTCTTGAGGCTAATCGTTTGAGGCATACTAAGAAGTATCTTTTGCATCTTCACTGCGCTCTGTCTGCCTTCTTAGGTCGTTAATCTCATATAAAGAAATTAGCACGCTCGTTGTCAAGTAAAACCGATACTCTCACTACATAAATACTACCTCATTGTCAAATGTTTTTGAGCAAAAGAAAAGCCTTAGTAGCTGCTTCATTATTAACAAAAAGTTGGACCCATTATCATCGGCATTAGCACAGCTCCTTCCTATCCACAGAAAATGTACGCCTGATCAATATTGCAATGATGCGAGCGCTTAAAAGATCGCTAGATATTAATGCATTTTTTAGCCATACCTTCATCGATCTCCTCATTCTTGCTTCATTCAGGCTCAGCCGGGCTATCCCATACATTAGATTAGATTTATTAGAGGACGAGCCCTGCGACCTAGCGACATGCCCTAGCGCTCTGATGAATCCGAGCAGTTTCGAGGGAGGTAGAGAGTACGCACGCGTATTTAGCCTCTGGTCACATCCTTCCCAGCCGTCTTCTCGCACCCACATCGCATTCTAAGAGGAGAGGCCGTGGGGTTACTGGTGTCATATCGCAGTACCGACACAAGCACTAACTAAGCCCCAAGGTATGCATATGAGCTCGCAGTCTGCAGTGCCCCGTTAATGTCTCTGTTATGAATCTCAGTTTAGTCTTTTGAAGGGTTATTAGTTCCATAGATCTTTTGGGATAATATATGGGATATCCCATAGTCTACATGTTTTGTTAGGGAAGACGTTATGCTAATAGGTTATATGCCCGAAAAGGCCAGTGACGTTAACCTCGTCGTAGTCGTAAAGGCTTTCTTTTTCCTTAAGGCGATTTATACTTCGAGCTCGTTTACCATAGCAATGCATCGTGTAGTGTAGGTGGCGAATCATAGGCGTACTATGGTCAATGACGATTTTGTCATTAGCTTAGAGCTTCTGGCCACCGAATGACGATAGCAAATTATTGGGTCGGCTTGTTTGATAACAAACAAACATAAGAAACATAAGCTAAGCTCATCCTACATTAAGTAGCATTTATGAACCTATGTTTTTTTTGTTTTGTTTATCTGGACCTTCTTTTTCTTGTACAATATTGGCGGTAGTAGGGGAAAAAATAATAAAAGCTTCGTAGCTTATTTTAAAGCACATTTCAACCTCCAGCAATTTGGCACTTATTATATTTGCTTGACGTTTCAGGAAAACGTTACACTGTGGTGGCCTAATGGTTACGGCGATCAGAAGCTATATCCACTGCATTTCTCCCTCAAGACATGGCTTTCCAAAATCGGACCCAGCTTACGTGCACGCACTACATCTACGAAGAGTATACATGTTGGCTTTCGTACCATAGAACTCATTGAAGATGAAGCCAAGGAAGGTACATATGCCATGTATTTATAACGGAATTATACTTAATAAGACAAATCAATTAACACTCAAATAATTGAAAAATTTCAGGCGTTGGCGACTACTTCCTCTTCAAAGTGAATGACGTCGAGATTTTTATGAAGGGCACTAATTATATACCCATGCACATATTGCCAGAGCTGAGCTATGACGAAGAACAAAGCAAGTCTAAACTTTATTCTAATGAGAACAAGACAAATAATTGTTACCTCCCCTCTCCTTTGAAATCTCTAGTAATTCATCTTATGCGCTCAGTCAAGGAAGCCAACATGAATATGATACGAGTTTGGGGTGGTGGCGTTTACGAGAGTAATAGATTCTATGAAGAAGCAGATAAGAAAGGCATCCTCATCTGGCAGGATATGATGTTTGCGTGTGCCATGTATCCGGCCACAGAAGAGTTTCTTGCTTCAGTGCGCAAAGAGATCATACAGAATGCTAAACGCATAGCTTATCATCCGAGTATTGCCATTATTGCTACAAATAATGAGAATGAGGCCGCATTGGTTGGTAATTGGTATGGTACTGCTGGTGAACGGGCGCGTTTCGAGGCCGAATATCGTGAGTTATACATAGGCACAGTATTTCACGAACTGAAGATTATACAGCATAGCTCACGGCCCAAGCCGCTAATGTCATCGCCGTCTAATGCTAGGGCGAGCGAAAAGGATAATTACATATCAAATAATCCAGGGGATGAAAACTATGGCGATAGTAAGATGTGATAGATGAATAAAAGTTTCATAAATTTAACTTTTTTTTATTTAAAGTACATTTCTACACAAACTTCGAGGACGCCTGGGATCCGAACATCTATCGGCGTCCACGTTTCGCCTCAGAGTATGGCTTCCAAAGTTTGCCCAAGCTCACAACTTGGCAGCTGAGTATGCATCCCGGTGACAATCTGCTCAATTTAATACATCACCGGCAGCATCATCCCGCCAATATGACATTGATAACGGCTTTGATAAGGCGGCACTTGCCATTGCCGCTTCCGGAGGATGATAACTATGTTGAAGCGTTGATATATTTCAGCCAAATCTCACAGGCAATGGCTACGAAGATCGAGACTGAATTGTATCGCAGTCTTAGGGATACCGTACACCACACAATGGGCGCACTCTACTGGCAGCTAAATGACGTTTGGGTCGCACCATCCTGGTCCAGCATAGATTTCTACGGTAATTATAAGGTGAGTTTGTAAATAAATTTCCACTGCATTTTAATTCCATCATTGAATCTCCTTTCTCTCCTTGAACAGCTGCTGCATTATTGGGCCAAATCATTTATGGCCCCCATACATATTGTAGCGCTCTACGACTCTGATCAGGATGCCGTAAATGTATCTTTGATTTGTGATAAGCTGGAGGTTGTAGAGTATGAGGGCCTGGAAGTGTCTATGAACATTTACAAATGGTCGGATTTGTTTCCAAAGGTGCAAACTGTTTGGCCAGTCACATTGGTAATGTTGCCATTATTTAGAATGTTGCTAAAGTCTTTCATACTCATTGAACTTGCAGAAACCTAATGGCGTGCACTACGATAAAATAATACCGGTTTCAAGCATTTTCCCACGAGGTTATACCAAAACTAACTCATTTGTCGAGTTTGTTCTGCGTGATCGTACCACTGAGCTTGCGCGCAACTTTTACTTCCCCAGCCCGATAAAGGATGCTGAAGGCGTGAGCGATCCGCAAGTAACTGTGAGTTGCAAATTACAGTTTTTTGAGTTATAACAAATTGAAATTGAAATTTTCTTCTTCCTAATTGTTGCTTCCAGCTGAGAGTTTTCTATTCCTACTGCTACAAAGCGAATAATAACTACGCAAATATAATTAGTTTGAATGTATCCGTTGCCAAGCCAGCGATATTTCTTTACCTCGAACTACTGAATACCAGCGTTGCCAGATATAAGTTGTCGAATAACGGTTTCATGATGCTGGTGCCAACGAAATTGGTGCATTTGGAGTTTTTCAGCAGCGAATGTTTGGATATTAAAGTGAGCGATCTCAAGGTTTTAACTGTCAATCAATACATGTTATGAAGTGTGTGCACTGAGAGAAATCGTCTGTAAAACTCTGAGAAATTTACTTAACGCCAAAGTAAGCTTAGGAATTAATTATTAAAGAAAAAATCGAAATAAACTTTTTAGCTTAAGAACCTTAATAGAAGTTGTATAATTCCAATATTTCAATGGTTTTGCGAGCTTCATTTCTATTTTCAATTGGAAAGAAAGCAATTTTCTTCGAGTGCATTGCTCTTAAGAAATGTTAGATTGGTTAAATTTTTTCAACTTTGAGGACCAATAGGAAAATTGTATTTTCAGTGAAGTCTTTTGTTCGTAGAGAGTATAAACGATCGATCCCTTCTTTCTGCATGTTTACCACATGGTCAGTGGCCTGAAATTGAGGCTATTTAAGCTCAGTTAGTTTAGACTTAATCTACTTAAATTAATTAACACTAACCTAAGTTAATTCAACTTAACTTAATATTTCGGGCAACCTGCTATATGAGAAATTGTGTTAGCGGTTAGTAAAATCTAAGCTTAAGATGCTTAAGAAACACTAACTGCGATTTTAGTCTGAATACAGTCCTGTATTTCTTAGCAACTCTTCTGTTCTTTTCAATGTGTTTACATGAGGCCATTTAGAGCCAACTTTTAGTTGAAAGCAACAAGCGCCTGGTGTAAACGGCCTTTCAACTAATCGCTTTCAATGAAGTTAGTCGACAGCCTTCTTTTGTTTCAAGTAATCACTTGAAAAATTGCCTTATGTAAACAGCGTATTACTTTTCGCACTTGGCCATAGCAGCTTTTCTCTTTTGCAGATCGAAGTACTGCTCAGTTCGGTACCTCTCGTTGGCGTATGTATTCCTATGATCAACCGCCAAGCTCAGCTACCTCTTGCAATTTCTAATGAGGCAAGTAACAGGAGCTCAACTTGGCTTTCTGAAAATATATGTACTTGCTTTTTTAGTTCTTTACTCCTTTTTACTTATACCTACACCGTCGCTACAGAAATAAATAGAAATCTCTCCTTTTTCTTCTCAAGTGCCGCCTAGAAAATAACTTTATCTAAAAGCTTTTGTTAAAGCTTCGAAAACGAATTATAAAATACGACTCTGTTTCTACCTGACAACTAATCCAAAAATTCGATCTATCTTTATATAATATTGCTTCGTGAACAGAAATATTTCAGGCTTGGATAGATTAATCCCCAGGCCGCTACATTCTGTGTACCTTCCCGGGCGTTAAGAGCAGATTGTAGTATTTCATTGACCATGGAACTGAGCTTATCTACGGCCTGGATGACGACGAGTAATACCAAACACAAAGCTTTTCAGGCGTTCAGCGTTTAATCACCTAAATATTAGTTTTATGTGTCGGTGTGAGCGGCGTAAGCCACAACGCCTCAAAAATTTTGAAGTGAAGCTTTACTTTCTAAAAGTCATCTGCGTACCCAACAACTTTAATGGCTTTCGAAGCATACATTTTTTAGTACGAACAGATGAGATGAAGATCCAACTTGAAGAGTACCTCCTGTAGCAATTTTTTCTCACTGAAACGATTCTCAATAAGCCCTCGATACTTCTCCTGCACAGCATATTGGACACGAATAGCAATGTTAACGCTAAATGCGGATTCCACACTAAAAAAGGCTGTCGTCTATTGTTTAGTATTTGCAACAACTACGAATTCAAAAATTCAAATTTTGTACGTGGTCTGCAGACTCAGATGCTGATACAATGGAACTCGTTTTTAATACCTGCCAACATAGCTTTGATACTCACATGGGTATCTAACTGAACTGCCTGTTATGTAATAAAAGGTCTTCCTGCCAAGAGTTTGGAGAGGTTCAAATTAGAGCTGGAAAACTATCGATGACACTAGAGATAGTATCGAAGGATTTTGACTATCGAAAACATCGATGGCTTTGTAAGCACTATCGATAGTTTTCACTCATACATACATTATTCAGCAAGAGTAAAAGCCGGCGATACCTGCTTCATCTCGTGAGTCGATTTGGGTCGAGGTCAACAAAGTACAAACTTTTGCTGCCTAAAATGGACAAAACTAGGAGCCACCGCTCTGGGGAAAAGAGGCTTCTGGATTTCGTCCCTCTATCTCAGCCATAAAGTGCCAGCTCGACAGAGCTTATGATCTAGGAATATTTTTGATGTGCTTCTTTTATTAGTCAAATAAAAAGACTTCTGAACTTACCTTCACTGAAAATAAAACAAAGTAAATATGCAATATGTATATATTTTATTCTTATTCGTTTCTCCTAAGATAAATCCAATACTTAGTTAACAGTTCAAATACTTAAACTACGATTTTTTTGTGTAATGTTTGGGATAGGAGGCAGTGCTGAAATACCCAGTTGCAACATAAAGTTGGCAATTTTCTGGCATCCGATTATAAAGAGTAAGCACAAGTAATCATTCTGTGAATAGGTTTTCGGGAAGTACTTAAAATAGTTTTATATATTTCTTAAATAAATAACAAAAACACATTTTTGATAACCATAAACTATATAAAATGCTATAGCTCTTTTTTAATTTTCAGTGAAAATTTAATATTTTAAATAAGCATAAATAAATTACAATATGTATACAGCAAGAATGATTTGCATAGCAGAAAACCGAGACCTGGCAAACAAAAATTATAAGAATTATTTTAAAAAAGCTTACGGCGCTTAACTATGAATACAGTTTACAGAGTTTGATATATTTAAAAAATATTTTCAGTATATTTTTGGCAGTTTATCCGTACAAATGAATGTACTTTCGATCGGGTTTCAGTGCGTTCGCTCATCTATCAAAGTGTTGTATCTGCACCTTTGGCGGCGTGTATCCGTCTGGGTAGGGCACGAGCTTGTTATTCAGTACACGCGCGTTCCGCCAAGTTCTCATCTTATCCTCGGGCGCATCGGGTACACGCACGCCTTCTATCACCGTCACTGCTGGACCGTCAACTATAGCCGATGCTGGAGATGAAGCGGCGCCATACGGATTCGGCGCGTCCCTCAATTTTGTCACCTTAGATGGTGTGAATTCACTATATCTATTATTAGAATTATAGTTACCGCGCTTGTTGACATTGTTATGGCTTAATTTGTTGTGGCTGGTGTGGCTGTTAGTATTACCGTTAGCCGACATGACGGCTGTCGACGAGGTCAACACTACGGCGGCGGGTATATAGTTGGTCTTCTTCTTACTACCGCTCGCATAGACATCCTTGGTGATGATATTATTCGGACGTGCGGAACGGCGTGCGTCGTTTGCCGCATTCGAATAATACTCAGCTACAGAACGTAGCGCTTCATTAAAAATGGGACGAAAACTATAACCACCACCGAGCGCGTATGTGTCAGCTGGCGTATTGTATTGTTGTGGCGCTTGACGCAAATTACGTGGGCGTGGCGCGTTTACGGATTCCAGTGGCTGCCAGGAACGATCAATAGGTTGAACTACCTCGGAGGGAAAGGAGAAACTCTTATTGTTACCATTTGTACTGCGCTGCATGGGTATGAAGCTGATGGGTTGCTGCTGACTTGGCGCATCGTACTGCGCGACATAACGGAAGTCATTTCCGGACCGCTGTTGCGGCTCCAAATGCACTCGCGCGCCATCGTACGCGTCGTTGCGTAATTGTAGTCCACGTGCATATTGCGCTCTGCCGCCGGACGCCTGCGCGCTATTTACCTCACGCAGTGCATTCTGTATCTTCAGCACTTGACGCGCTTCCGCCTCAGCTTTGCGCTGTTGATAGTCTCTTCCTTGGCGCGCCAGCTCGGCTTGCTTCAGCAGGGCCGGCGTATGTTGGAAACTTAATGCGGTTGGCTTGACGTTTTGTGGACGCGACGCGGGCTTTCGTACATCGGCGCTGCGCACAAAAAAGCTACTCGCAGCGTCATCAAGTCGCCCACGCCTAGAGTCCTTGCCAACTAAGAGTTCGACATTCTCGCCCGTGTTGGACTTCACATTCACGACGCGCACCTTCTCCGGATCAAGGTTGCGCCCGAAGCGCAGTTCTGTGCGTATAATGGCTGGCTTATAGATGGTTGGTTTGCCTGTAATTTCGACAGTTTGCTGTTGGGCGGGCGTTTTTGGCTGCGCATAGCTGCACACGAGGGAGAGTAGTAGGAAAAGTGCGGTAGCTGCTTTGGTTGCGTGTGCTCGCGTTGGCGACGTCATTACGATGTGTTGATTGTTGCGCATGCGCTGGAAAATTGCGTGAAAGAAGAAAAAGTGTTAATAAATTAATTGGAATGTTTTCATGCAAGTGATGAAAAAAACAAATGCTGCAATTCGCTGGCATTTCGGTTTAATTGCCTAGAGTTCCGCTTAGTGCCGGCAAAAAAAGGAAAATCCTACATAAAATAATCAAAAGAGTGGCGTCAACGATTTTCCAACGCTTTTAATGGTGAAAATTCAAGCCATAAATTCATTTTAAGTTTATAAAGTAATGCAGCTGAGGAATGTGGAATTTTTGCGCAGACTTAATTTGATTTAATTTTATACTTTATACTTAAGCTAAGAAAATTACAAAATTTTAAAAGCATAGGGCAAAGAGCTACACTTGGCTGGGATTTGAAAATGTACGCATATTATGTCATGAAATAGGTATTTCTTCGTCATGGCAGTTACCTACATAGTTCGCAGTTGTATAATAGTATTTTATGCGCATAGGTTTCGTTTTTTATTGGCAATAAAAATTTAGCAAAAGGAAAGACTAAGAGGGTCTTTTATAGGTACAGAAATCCCGATGTGAAAAGTCAGGTGCAATTTTTTTTCTGGTAATCTTTCGTATTGAAAGACGATAAATATTTATGAAGAGAAATATATTTTCCATAAAAATTTTATGTATGTATGTACATATGCAACATGCATGCCCAGCGGAGAGTCCTGTGACCGAAGTGGGGCTGGAAGCAGATGAGTACACAATGGGAGTCTTTGCTGATATTGAGGGAAGTTTGACGACGCTCTGCTGGCAGAAGACATGAAGTGAACACAACAATCATAAGGCGGGTTCACTTCATGCGCTTCGACGAGAAAACTAACATTAAGCGCCTAAATGCATGCTATGCACCGCTGCATGTGCAAAAATTTCCCTTATGAAATTTTGCAAAATTTTTGAACAAGCACTTCTCAATTGCCATATAATAAAGCTGTCTTAAGTTATATTTTGATGGCACTTCAAAGTGAGCTCGGCCTAAATGATGTTTACCATTGGCCACAGTGTAGAC